ATATCAAGGGTGGCAAAGTTTGACACGAGTCGTTAACACGATTCGAACATGATACAAGTTAAACGAGTTTGGATTAATATTAAACGAGTTTGGGTCATAAACGGGTTGACACGATTAACCCATTTAGTTAATAATGTTATATTTTGGTTGAGGTGGTTCAACTTGTGTAACCCGTTTAACTATATATGTCGTAAACAAATATATATTTAAGTTCCAAAATAATTATCTAAACTTGTGTCTTATAATTTAGGATTAAAATAATAAAACCACACTACTTTCAAATATTGATGATAATACCTCAACCTGTTCAAAAAAACCCTACAATTTTAAAAAAATGATCACATTGCCCCAATATACGTATCCAGTTTGTTAACCAAGCTATGAAATGACATATTTAACCTTATTATTTAATGTTAAATTTAAAACTAAAAATTATTTTTTAAAATTATAAAAATATTTTTTAAAATTGCAAAATTATGCTTTAGAAAGAGAGAGGTGAGAGATTTAGAGAGAGAGGAAATAATTTTTGTAATTTTAAAGGTTATTTTTGTAATTTTAAAAATAATTTTTAGTTTTTAAGTTAACATTAAATATTAAGGTTAAATTTGTCATTTCATAGCCGTTTTACAGGTCAGATATGGATATTGAGGCAATGTGATCACTTTTTAAAAATGTAGGGGTTTTATGATCAAAATTGGATAGTCGGAGTTTTATTATTTTAACCATATAATTTACTCTATTGTAGACTATATACTATTTAGTAATTTAGTTGTATTGAAACTTATATTTTTCTAGTATTTATTAATTGTTTGATTGAGTATTATTAATAATTTAAATAATATAATTTTTTATGGTAGTAAATAGGCCATTAAACATGTCAAGTTAATGTTGAAAGTTCCTCATACGATTATTAAACAAGTCGTGTTTGGGTTGAGTTGTTTAGTAAAATACCCTTAAATCAACACAATACGGTTATGACCCACAAATATGAATTGCCATTCCTATATTATATCCCTTAGATGGTAAAATTTTAGACTTATCTATTTTATTTTGTTTAAGATAAGTAGATAACATCAAAGTTATGGCGACTCTCATAAAACACTAGCCACATGTCGGCGTCGAAAATTATTACATGATTCCGAAATATAATGATCGATCATTTGTTATTTGATTCAAAAATTTTAAGAGTAATGATAGACAATGCCAAAGAGAAAATGAAAAAACTTTCCGATTCTGATTTGACTAACGAATTAAAAAAGAAAGACTCTCCTCTTACATGGTTTAAAATAAATAAATAAATAAATAAAAACATGATACAACGCGGAAGAGAAAACGTGAAAACTCCCCATTCTGATTTAGCTAAGCCACGTCACAATTAAAAAAGAAAGAATCCCCTCTTACATAGTAAAAAATAAAATAAAATAAAATAAGGCATGGTGCTTTCTTTTTCCCCTCACAAATAGGTAGGGTAGCAAAAGTTGACACGACCAGCCAACACGACATAAGTTAAACAGGTTTAGGTCATAAACAGGTCGACATGATTAACCCGTTTAGTTAATCGTGTCGTATTTGGATTGACAAGTTCATCTTGTGTAACTTGTTTATACATGTTTAACTATATATGTTGTAAATAAATTTCTATTTAAGTTCTAAAATTACTATATAAATTTATGCCTTATAATTTAATCTTTTGTAAATTAGAAACTATTTAATAATTTGGTTGATTAAAACTTTTTTTTTTAATATTTATTATTTTATTGAGTATTATTAATAATTTAAATAATATAATTTTTTTTTTTTTTTTTTTGTTTGTAAATAGGTCATTAAACGGGTTACACATGTAACTTGTTTAATAAACAGGTTGGGTTAGTGTTGAGAGTTCCTGACACTATTATTAAACGGGTCGTATTTGGGTTGAACTGTTTAGTATAATAGCCTTAGGTTAACACGACACGATTACAACCCGCGAACACGAATTACCACCCCTACTGAAATAGAAAACTAAAAACTCTCCAAAATTAAATATATACAACACTTCTCCTCAAGCGTCACCTTTTGTAAAATTACTTTCAACCCCTACTTTTTACAAATACATTTTGTAGAACTTTAATAGAATGAATAAATTATAAAATAAAAATTCTATAATAAAAATTTTAAAACAATAAATGTTTGGTTTATACATAATATAGATTATATTGTATTTGTATAGTTTTATGAATTTTTACTTTATGAATTTAAATTTATGGAACACGAGAACAAGTAATTTTCGGTTTGTAATTATTTTCTTTTGCTCTTTCTATCCAATTTTGAAGAGTTTTTTGTTTCTTGTTTGTGAATAAAAAGAGAAAGCATCATAATTTTTTATTTTTTTTATACCACGGAAGAAATGACTCTTTCTTTTTTAATTCTAATGTGACTTAATCAAATCAAATTTCGGAATTTTCGCTTTTTTTCCTTGAAGTTGCTTATACTCAAATTTAAATTGTGTTGCAAATCCGATATGTCCAAAGAGTCTCCTCTTTTAGATTGGACACGCGACGTCCACCCTATAACAATTGCCGACAGCATTGAGATGGTTGTTAAAAAGTGAACATGGTGCTTAATAATAGCTGTCTTTTTCATGTTGCATTTTTTGTAGGGACAAAGGGTATATATAAAAGACATTAATACCTTGTCATTTTGGTGCAAGTTTTTGATAAGTTCTTTTTTTGAATATGTATGACCGGTATGATGTATAAATCATGTTAAATTGACATTAAGTATTGAGAATTCATTTCACGCAATAATAAGAAATTGAGCTTAATAAGAAATTTAAAGCTTCAGTGTAAGCGCGATTCAAATCCATCTTTTTCGACCCTACTTTTGTTGAAGTTGTGGTTGAGTGGATAATAATTTAGTCGATTATGTTGGGGTTATGCTCGGGAGTCAGGTTCGGTTGGTAAGACTAAAGTGGGATAAACTAATTACTAGTATTTAAATGACAATCATAGTTGGGGTTGGGTTCAACTCAAGTTACTTGACACCTTTGTTCAAATCCGAAGTTTGATTTGAATAATAAAAAGAACTATTCTTTCAAAGACAAATTTGAGTTCGGGTTAGGTTTTGATTTGAGTTTGGCTTGAATAGAAGCACGGGTGAACTCAGAAAATTATGTTAGAGGGAGCAACCTATAATAAAAAAAAATATTGTAGGGAGAGCAATAATGGAATTTTCCTCTAATTTCAATAGGGACAAACTCAAAACTTTCTAAGTATATAATTCAAAAAAGCAAAATTAGTGGGTGAAATAGCAATTTTTCTATAACGACTCTCACCCTATCAAAACACAATATTATCTGCTTTTGGTTCCATCGGACTAGAGACTTGCCAATGGGTCACCCATCTGGTACTACAAACTCTGAAGTTCTGGTGGATTTATAGCCATTACCGCTGCCTAGTATGGTAACCTACTGGTGCCACCTACACACGCAGGCCCTTCTCACTCACCCTACCTAGATACAATATTGTTTGTTTTTGGCTCCCCCGGTATCATTTGTAACGACCCTCACCCACCCAGACACAATATTATTCGTTTTTAGCTCTCCCAGACCAGAGACTTCCCAATTAGTCACCCTTCGTGGTACTACTCCACGTTAAGCACGCATCACTCCGCAGTTCTGGTGGGTTCACGACCATCACGGCTTTAAAACGCGTTATGTTATAAAAAGGTATTGAATACATATAGCACTTACATCCAAGCGATGTGGGATTGTGCATCTATAATTCACCCAGTGTGATAGCCTACTGGTATTACCTGCACACACTCACACACACCCGCCCACAATGTCACCACAATTTTCCAGTTTCGTCCCTTAACAAGTATCAAGCAACTTGAGCCTAACCTAGCCCGCTAGCATGCTTACTCATCTTCTTTACCGCCAAGCAGTTCCTCGCTCATCGCTGGGTTTTTCCTCGGTCTCGCCATTCAGACAAGTGCATCGATGTTGGTATCATCCTTGCATCGCCGTGTGGTTCATCCTTATTTGTCGACACCGTCCGCTTTTTCATCGACAGAGCGAGAAATTTTCATTTCGGGGGCCATATAGTGATATAAAGTTAAATTTAATAAAAAAAAGAAAATAATTGCATTAAATTTTTTTTTTTTTTCTTCGTTCATTAATAAAGTTGTCTTTGTCTAGTATTCTTGGTTTTTTTTCTTCTTCTTTTTCTTCTTTTGTCTCTCTTTAAATCATAACAAGTCATTTTTATACTTATATAAAGAGAGTATTACTACGTCTTAACAAGACTTATAAAATAATAAATACTTCTATTAATTTTGAATTTTTAAAGGCAGGGCAAAAGGTTCAAAAGAGTTTTAAATAATTTATTTCATAAACAATTTTTAATTTCCAAAAATAAGTAACTATAAATGAGAAGTTTATAAAATTTTGGGAGGTCAACTTTAATTTTCTTAAAAAAAATTAGCATTAATAATTATGAATAATTACCACTAATAGAATTCTAAAAAATATTGTAAGGTGCCAAATTTAATATTCTATACAAAATTACCATTAATAATTATACATTATTACTACTAATAATTTTTTTACAAAAAATTGGAGGCCACCTAGTCTTCTTGGTTCCGTCCATGCGTGTAATAAAACGGGTTACACTTGTTAAACTATCTCAACCCAAATATACACACAATTAACTAAACTAACTAATCGTATCGACTCGTTTAAGATCAATCGAAACCCGTTTAATTAGTACCGTGTTCGATTCTTGAAAACAAGTGTCAAACTTTACCATCCCTAAATTATAGCTGCTACTTAAAATTACTTCATTATGTAGGTGAAATTTGGAGAAATTCACGGTGGGCGAGTAAACCTAGTATAAATCTATACAGTACTTTGTTCTTTATCCACGAGGGATATAAATTTATCTAGTACTGTATTAAAATAAGGGAAAGAGAAGAAGTTTCTTAGAAACAACCTTCACCGGTAGAGGGCAAAACTGTAACAAATTACCAATACCACGTTACGCCAACTGGTCCACTTTAAAGAAGAAACCTTTTTTGTCCCTCCAGTTTCCAGCCACCTTCAACCTTTTATCTCTCTCTCTCTCTCTAGACATTCTCTCTCTAGAAATGTTGCAGAGGGTGGACCGTGTTTAACAAGGTGTGTAAACTCTGAGATATTCTGTACACAAAGTAAATATATATATATATATATTTTTCTTTTGTTAATCCCCTTTATTGTTAGATAACAATTTTTATTTTTTAAATTCTGTTTGTAATTTAATCTTGTTTATCAATCCCATATGTCTGAAAGAAAATGATGAAGATCTATGAATTATTTGATTAGCAGTGTGAAATTAAGTACATTTCTTGTTGTTGGAAGCAAGAATTGCTTTGACTTTTGATTTCAAAATCACGAAAATTACTAATATTAACATTAACCAGACTCAAACTACATTTACAAGTGAGAACCTAAATCTGTCATTTTCAGAGACTAGAAGAATTCTATTTGGAGTTCCCTAATGACGGATTCTGAATAATTATTGAATGACAATGCCAAATTCTATTCTTTTATAATTAAAATAATTTCAATTTGTCACTCAAATTCCAATTCACTTTAGACCTAGATAATTTTATTGAATCAAGTTTTGGGACTGGACGTGTCTATTTGGTTATGTTTTTGGAAAATGGGTTCCAATGCCGTATTTCCAATGCTCTATTTCCTAAATCTTAATGAAATGTAAGAAGAGGTTCATTGTTTGTACTCTTTTAGTTCTGATTTTATTTATTTATTTTTTAAAGAAAAGATTCACTTTATTTATTTTTTCCTTATGCATTGGGTTCATTGTTTGTACTCCATTCAGTTGAGTTGAGGTTTTTAGATAATTGAGCAGCATTCAGTAATGTCTGTGTTTATAAATAATACTGAATGGAAGCTTCCTATGGTCAGGGTACTTCTGGTATTCAGTTTTATTTTTGTGCTTTAGTGACTATTTCAGATAATTGATCATTGTTTTTACCTCAGAGTTTATATGTTTTACTGAATGTAGAGCTCCTATGGTCTGTAGGGTACTTATGGTGTTTGATTTTCATTGGATCCTTTAGTTTTTTTTCCTTTATTTGCAAAACGTCGACAGATTATAGAGTTCATGGGTGGCAGAAGTTCAAAGAGGGCGACCCGAAGTCGGTACTCATCCTTTGATTCTAGTTCGAATTCGTGGAATCAACATGGCTATCCACCACCGTCGTCATACGCTCAACCGAGCCAACCCTATGGCTATCCACCGTCGTCATACGCTCAACCCAGCCAAGCCTACGTGCCTCCGCCTCCACCTCAAAACTATGGCAGTAGAGCTCCAGAGTCAAAAAGGAAACTTGAGAGAAAATATTCAAGGATAGACGATGACTACAGCAGCTTAGATCAGGTAGCACTGCATTTTCTGTATATTGACGAATGACCTAGTTAGATGGTTGTCAAATTATGGGTGCATCAGAATCTTTGTTGTTTTCTGTTTCATTTTATATAACTCGCTCTCCCGAGGAATGTTTTCAAGAATCTGCTTAATATTTGAATGAACCTCGTGTCCATTTTAATTTCAAAATCGTTGTGATCTTATGAATCATGAAAATTACTCTTAATGGAATCGAGAATTTAGTGTCATCATTGATTTAATGTTTTTGGGTTTGAAGCATCAAAATATGTCATATGGAATGTATTCACCTCTACTTTATTAAGCTATGTTGCTGGCATAGTTAGGAAATGTCAAGATATATCATAAGGTACATTTAGATGGTTGTCAAAAAATGGGTGCATCAGAATCTTTGTTGTTTTCTGTTTCATTTTATATAACTCGCTCTCCCAAGGAATGTTTTCAAGAATCTGCTTAATATTTGAATGAACCTCGTGCCATTTTAATTTCAAAATCATTGTGATCTTATGAATCATGAAAATTACTCTTAATGGAATCGAGAATTTAGTGTCATCATTGATTTAATGTTTTTGCGTTTGAAGCATCAAAATATGTCATATGGAATGTATTCACCTCTACTTTATTAAGCTGTGTAGCTGGCATAGTTAGGAAATGTCAAGATATATCATAAGGTACATTTATGTCGATCCAAATTCTTTTTGAAGCCAATATTCTACCTCTTCGATGATTGACATTTAGATTTACAATATGCTAAACAGGACATGGTTTTACGATGAGTAAAGGATCTATTTATCCATTCGGTCTGGCAGAGTATTGTATGATCAAATTTGTCTGCAATGCGCAAAATCTCTATTTACAGCTAATTCTTTTTCATTTGCAATGATTATATGTGGCACATTTTCCTTGTGTTACCTTTCTTATTAGTTGTTAATTCATTAGACATTGGGCATTCTCGTGATGTCTGTACTGTTGTTACTCTAATCTAGGCAAAATTCTAACTTGCCGATGGTGGTTTCCCTACATTCGTGATCTCATTGTTCAAGTGCTTCTCATAAGAATAACCGACCGGTTTACATTTTCTTTACCCCACAGGTTACTGAAGCACTAGCACGTGCTGGTCTGGAGTCTTCGAATCTGATAGTTGGTATTGATTTCACCAAGAGCAATGAATGGACAGGTTTAATCTCACCTGGGTTCTGAGCAGAATTTTAATTAGTAACATTGCAACAGACTTAACTTGTGTTGATATTAGGTGCAAGGTCATTTCATCGGAGAAGTTTGCATCACATTGGGGATGAGCAGAACCCCTACGAACGAGCCATATCAATTATTGGAAGAACTTTGTCTAACTTTGATGAGGATAACTTGATTCCGTGTTTTGGATTTGGAGATGGTATTTTCTTGTACATGGCATACCAATTTAGGTTTTATTGTCTAGATAATGGATATCATATGTAATCAAAATATTGGCAGCATCAACACATGACCAAGAAGTCTTCAGTTTCTTTCCGGATGAGAGATTTTGCAATGGATTTGAGGAAGTCTTGAAACAATATAGAGAATTAGTCCCTCGTCTACGTCTTGCAGGTTGTAATTTCACTCATTCGGTTTCTTTATTCTTCTATTCGGGTTGGTTCCTGCAGCTTATGGCATTTTTGCCTTACTTTTTTATATGACAGGGCCAACATCATTTGCTCCTGTTATTGAAATGGCCATCACTATAGTTGAGCAAAGCGGTGGGCAGTACCATGTTTTAGTGATAATAGCTGATGGGCAGGTATTCTATCTGTCTGGATTTGCATTTCAATATGAAATTTTGCTTGCTTGGGTATGTAAATTTGCTTGATTTTAAGGAAATGTTTGATCCTATGTCACATACATAGTTTTATGGTTCCTCATTCAAGATTAGTCGGAATTTTAGTATTGAATTTAGGAAGTACAGCAGCGTTAAATTTTTGTGAAACTTGAGCAATCTGATGTCTGAATTCCAATCCCAAATTTTATCAGATGTCATGAATAAGTTATGTAATTTAAGATCCTAGTAATCACTTACCTGGTGGATCAGTGGTGAAACTATGATAATTATCTGTCTAGTTTAAATGCTTTGATCACTGGTGTCTCTAAATTTTGTTATGCATGCCAACCTGCTTAAACCTTTGATCCGTTAGTGTTTTACACTTTGTTATCTTGTTGAAAGCTGTGTTTTTATTTTGTATTACTCTGTCACTTTGCTTATTTCTGATTCAACAAATCCAATGACTGAGTTCACTGGCTGCGGACATGGAATTTTAAAAATATTTCTTGATAAAGTGTTCATATTACATAAACTAGACTAAAACTACAGAAATATAAAAGGTTGCTGTAAGCATTTTAAATTCAAGAAAAAATAATACACAATATAAAAACTTAACTATAAAACATCATTTTATCTGTGAAAAAAACTGACTTTTATAATTATCACCAAGAATTATGAGAAAGGCTTTAAATTACGGGAAAGGGCATTCACAACAGTCAGTGGTGGAGCTAGGAATTTAATGCAGTGGGGGCAACGTTGAACAATGTCTAGATTATTATTATTATTATTCAAAATATAGATATGAAAACTTAAATATTGATTTATACTACTTTTATTCAATATGACGGGGTTAGAGCCGTTCTTTGTATGCCAAAATTGATGTAGTGAATGTGCGGTTCAAGAAAAGCCTTTTGGGTCAAGTTTAAATTTATAAAAACCACTACCAACACTACTACTAAAGTAGCAAGAGTGAGTAGGGATCGTCCCAATGGATTATGGGGATTGAGCAATGTCGTGGAATCGCAATTAGGGCTAGTAGGTCGAGTGATCAAACAATTGGTTGGTTGGTTGATTAAAGAGCAACTAAATTAAATTAAGTAATAGCAAAAGAGTGCAATTAAGAGTAAGTAAGAGAGAGAGAGATCTTGGGGTTTAGAGATCACCACCAAGCAATGCATTTCTATATCATTAACAAGTGATTAATGAGGGCAAATAGTGGGTTGCAATATTGGTGTGTGTGTATTTGGTTGATTCAACAAGCAAGGATGACTAGTTAAGCATGTATTGTCTAAACACCATGTGAAAGGCACAATATATCTAAGTAATGAAGCATATATTGTCTAAATAACATGTGAAAGGCACAATAAATCAAAACAAGTCATTAATCCTTTCATTAAGCTCACAATTCAAATACAACACAAGGATAGAGACATATGCTAATTGCATTCAAAAGCTTGGATCATCAAACAGCAAGTATAGATTGTCCTCCCATTTAACACTACACTACAACTACACTACATCTACACTACTAGCATGAAAATAAACTAGGGGAGAGGCACAATCCATCAAGAGATAAGCATGAACCATCAAGAGAATCACAAAAGCATTCTTTTAAGCACAAAGTTTTGACAATCTCCAAATCTATAACATCAATACACATAGACATGCATCAATAACACAAAATCTAGAGATAAGCACATGAACATCTATTCTAGCATGCATAGACATATGGATAGAATGAAATGACCAATTGGAAGCATTAAACCACATAAATTATTGAATAAATAAGATTTATATATATCAAAGTGTCAAAACATCAATTACAACACTAATCCCTCAATGATACACAAGATTAAGATATAGAAAGCATGCTTGGGGCTAACTCTAGCCCCAAGAGGATGTCTAGTCACTCATGGTGATGATGCTCCAACCTTTAAGGGCTAATTCCATGGTTGAAATCTGCTCCTTGTTGATGAAGAGTCTCCAATGGTGTCTCTAGCCTCCTCCTCCTCTAAACTTCCTCTCCAAGAGATGATATGAAAAAATTAAATTGGCTCCCCTTTGTAAAAGCAATCCTTATCCTTATATAGGTAGGTCAAAATGATACCCAAAATGAGCTGGGGTCGTGCACATAATATTCCCTAATGATTGGATAAAGGACAACTTTCAATGAGATGGAATTTTAACTTTTTCGCACTGGAGGAAGTTCGATCAATCGAGCTGTAAACTTGGATCGATCGAAAGTAAGTGAGATCGATCGAACTTAGGCTGGATCAATCTAATTGGCTAAGCTTTTTGGAAAAAGACAAATCCGAGATATTTATGGGAGATATTTATGAGAAAGGACAAAAGTGGTTAGTGGGTGGTACAGCTGTGGATAGGATCAATCATTTGAATAAGGACAAAAGTGTTCGATCGATCGAAGGATGGTGTTGGATCGATCAAACTTTTGGAACTTTATGCTTTTGGGTCAAGGCTTGGATCTATCTTGAAGTGCTGAGATCGATCATTGTTCGATCGATCGAACCTTGAACTTGGATCGATCGAACTTTGCTGCTTGCCACCTTTGGCTTCATTTGCTTCCTTCTTTCTCCACTTTGCTCCTTTCTTTGATTAATCCCAGAATTGCTTCAATTAAGCTCTTATTTGGCTGAGTTAGCTTATTTTTGGGATAAGTGCCTGAAAAAGGAAATAATACGAAATCAATCTAAAACGGTAAAGTAAGATAGATAAAGGTATTAGAATGCCTAAGCTTAAGGGGTTTAAATACGCACTTTTCAGTGCTCATCACAATACATTTATGAATGCCTAGGCTAGTTTTTATAGTTTGAACGTTGCATAATAATTTATATAAAATTATCCCAGTAATTACAAGATTCTATCATAGTTTTAATTATTTGAAAAACCAATTCACAAAAAAATCAATGTATTGATGTAACAAAATTCTTAGTCTATTATTTTGGAACCTAGAATGTAATCTATTCACAAAAAGTGAGATTGGGTGAAAAAATACGTTTTGAAGAAAGTAGGAGAGTGTAAATTAGGAGAGATATCGAATAACATGGACAAGATGAACTAGATGTGAGTTATAGAAAAGTGGGGTACAAAGAGGCTTTATGAGAGAGAGATAACACTCAATAGAAGAAAGTGTTGAAGGGTTGAGGTAAAAGATTTTTTTTTATATATAATTTGAAGTGGGGGCATTTTTACAATTTTAGAAACTTATATATTCAAAACTAACATATAAATTGCCCCCACTCAACACTGTGGCTCTGCCACTGACACAGTAATGGCCATGGTGATGTAGAAGCATGGAGTAACTGGCGCAACATAAAATGGTCGTAAACATGGTGATTTAGAAACATGGTGTCATATGCAGTTACCAGAGCCGGGAATTTTTTCAATTGTTGAACTACCTCAATATATCAATAGACTTGCTTTAATTTAGAATCAAGTTGGCTACCTAGCTGTCGGTAAGAACGTACTAATTATTACAATTCATTACTTATATGAAAACAAAGTGCACCTAAACATAAAAACAAATTATGTAGAAACAACATTCTACTCTTAAATCACATAAAATTAATGAAAAGGGATCCAATCAAGATTCGTGCAACAAGAAATAATAAATTAAGAGGAAAAAAAAAAGGAAGCAAAAAAATAAAAATAAAAAAAATCATAAAATACTTCAAAATTGCCAAATAAAAATATACCCTCAACCTACAATTTACAAGTATAGAGCACACATAAAAGAAATGGAAATTGATTTAGATATCAATAACTTACTTATTAATGGAAAATTAGAAATAAATTGTATATTATAGATTTGAACAAGATCCTCCATCCATCTCTCTAAATATAATATCAAACAATAAGTTTAGGCAAGATTTAAGCTAAATGAAGTGAAAATTGAAAAAAAATAAAAATTGAAACTTACAGATAGAATGAAATGTCCCAGGCTCTTTATTTAAGATCTAAACTTAGATCTTCATTGTTGTAAGTTTTTAGAGTAGACTTAAGATTATGTTGTCATTTGGAGGTTTTGGAACCTCGAAATGTGAGAAAAGAATAAAATAAAATAAAGTGGTGGAAGTGACAAAGTTATAGTTTTACACACATTACAGTCCAGAGCTCCTGTTATGGTGCCATAAACAGCTTACAGTTTCATATTTTAAAAGAGACAGTATATCTGTTTGTAATAGAATCTCCCGCAGTCTATATAATTATGTAATGTCTGTTATTTTGAACCATGATTCTGAGTTACTAAATAATTATTCAGGCAGGCTTTCAAAAAAAAAAAAAAAAAAAAAAAAAAAAAAAAAAAAACGTTAATTCAGGAAAATGCCACCAAAAATTCTGCTATTTGGTATCATGGCTGATTCTCCTGAGTAACTTACCAAGCTTTGAAACTCCTTGAGAATCAACTGAATTTAATCCGATATATATAAATATATATATATTGGGTTCTAATTTCTAAGCAGTATCATAAACGTAACTTGGTAGTTGTTCTCAAGAGTCCACAATAGACAGCCCTAATTAATATTGTTCGAGAGGTATGTATTTGTTACTATGCTAAGCCATGTGTTCAGCAAAGTCAAATCACACACTAGTATGCCACAAAAGCTTTCTTGTCCATTTCTTGCCTGACTATCATATTTCAAATGCACACTGTTGAGTTATATTGATTTGGTTGATTGTTGTAGGTGACTAGAAGTGTTGATACTGAGCATGGAGCTCTAAGCCCGCAGGAAAAGAGAACTGTTGAGGCAATTGTGAAAGCAAGGTAACTTGCAGCTTGCCTGTTTCATTTGGTGTAATAGCTTTGTTTGCCAAACCATTTTCAAATACTTGTCACTTGACTTTACAGTGAGTACCCCCTGTCAATCATTTTAGTTGGGGTCGGAGATGGACCGTGGGACATGATGAGGGAATTTGATGATAATATCCCTGCCCGGGCCTTTGATAATTTCCAGGTAAGTATTGGCATAAAACAATTGAACCTCATCTTGTCATTTTGAAGCCTGTATTGATCTTTTTCTTATTCTCTGTAACGCCTTGTTTGTCTTTTCTAGTTTGTAAATTTTACAGACATTATGTCAAAGAATATGGACCAATCTAGGAAAGAAGCGGCTTTTGCTCTTTCAGCCTTGATGGAAATACCTTCTCAATATAAAGCAACACTAGAGCTTAATATATTGGGGTAACAATTTAACATATATACATTATGATTTTCGGGGCTTGGCTATTATAGCCATGGACAAATTTATTCAGTTATTTAGCATTTATCAATCAGTGCTCATAGAGGGAAAGCTATAGACAGAATTCCTCTTCCCCCTCCTCACTATGGTGCATCTTCCTTCGGCATGTCAAAACCTTCACAGTCTGGTAGCTTCCATCCAAGTGCGCCTTCTGATACACCTGATGTAGTTGTTGGAACAAGTAGACCTGCAAGTTCTACCTCCGATAACCATGTAAGTTTGAAGTACATGTTTCCTACCTTATCTAAACGAACATTTTATTCAATTTCATCATCACTGCACTTGTTGTATTGTATCAACTACACTTCACCTATTTTTATTGTTTGGAGCCTCCTGACTGTAGGCGTGAACAATGGAACTGCATCTGTAAGTTATAATAATTGGCTGTAATATATTTATAATCATATGCTAATGCAAAGCTTATTGGTCCTTTCTTCTGTGTATACCTAACAGGTTTGCCCTATCTGCCTTACAAATCCAAAGGACATGGCCTTCGGTTGTGGACATCAGGTACAACAGTTATCCATTGCTGTATGCCCTTCTTCGAGAATTGGTTGAACTTGGAAGAATACATGTATGGACTAAATTTTGTTTATTTGCAGACATGCTGTGAATGTGGGGAGGACCTTCAGTTATGTCCCATCTGCCGAAGCGACATTCATACCAGAATAAAGCTTTATTAAGTGAAATCTGGTCTACTGGAAGATATTCTATTGCTACTGACAACAGCTCTCAGACTGTAAGTTCGTTGCAAGTCCTTTTCTTGACAATGGTGTCGCTGTTGGATTTATCTGAATGCTGTGTTAGATACCATATGATTCAGCAAAATGAGTGTTCAATAAGTTCTGTACATATTTATTCACTTTGTTGATATTAATAAACATATCTTCATGCAACATCTATTTCATGAGCCGCATAAAGTTGAAATAAGCTATAGAATGCTTGTGCCTGGGGTCCTTGTGGCATATCACGGGGTCAAAAATATACCTTTAGGAGCAGGAGTTCTATTTGGAATATAATGGAATCATTTTTCTTTTTTCCCCCATATTCCAATACAAGGCACAGGATGGTTTGGTCCATTTCTTATATCTGTAAAGAATTGATTTTCTAGTTGTTCTTGGCTTCACGCCAATCCTTGAGCCCTTTGACTTTGTGTTGATAAACACCTAATTTGACAATAATAAATCTCTTAATAGTTTTCCATATATTAGTAACTATTATGTCTTTAGCATGAACTCCCATGAAACCCCTGCTAATAAAGCTGCACGGAACATAATTTATTTTTTGATAAGTAAAAATAACATTAAAAAAGGTGTTCAAAAGGGGAACGTGTCCCAATTACAAAAAAGGAACCTGGGCTAAGGCCCCAAAGAATACAAGAAAGTAATTAAATCATCAGAAGAAGAACAAAAGCTCCTCTTCACATAATTGAAAAGAGAACGAAGAATGTAAAGTTTGACCACAGCCGTAGGCGTCTCATTCCCTTCGAACATCCTATTATTTCTCTCCTTCCAAATACACCACCATACACAATGTGGCACAATTCTCCAGAATTCACGAACGTCTCTTCTCACTCGATAGCCTCTCCAGACATGAATTAATTCCTTAGTAGAACGTGGCATAACCCAACACATGCCAAACAACCCAATAATGAGATTCCAACAGTCGTTCGCCACAGGGCAATGCAAAAGGAGGTGATCAACGGACTCCTCATCATCCTTGTATAGACAACATCGATTAACAGTACAATTGCCCCTTCTTCTTAAATTATCAATTGTCAGAATCTTTCCCCACACTGCAGTCCAAACAAAGAAAGCCACTCTAGTTGGAGCCATAGATCGCCAAATAGTTTTCCACAGGAAATCACGATTAGCAAAATTTGACAAACATAAGAACAATGATCTAACTTCAAAGCGACCATGGGAAGAAGGAGCCCATAATAAAACATCATTACCACCGCCTACGCCCTCCTGCCGATACAGAAGATCCAGAAAAGCACATACCTCGTCCATCTCCCAATCCTGAAAAGAGCGTCGAAAAAGCACATCCCATATAATCTCGCTGCTATCAAGCCGATAACAGTCAACTACGTAGGCGTGTTTATCAACAGCAATACTAAATAAGCTGGGAAATGCACAAGATAGTGGTTGTTCCCCACACCAGAGATCTTCCCAAAACCTTATACAACGACCGTCACGAAGTTTAAATCTGATATGAGCTGAAAAAACATCCCATCCCTTCTGAATAGCCTTCCACATACCGACTACTCCCGTCAGGGTAACCGGACGAGTAGACCAACCTCCAGCCTCTTCCCCATACTGACAAGAAACTAACCTCCGCCATGGACGATGTCTTTCCCTTCCATAACTCCTTTGGACCAAATTAACATTCTCAATGTGCTAGCATGATACCATATGGCCATAAGGGCCAGCACGGTAATACACAGCGGTCATACCTCCTGTGCAATGTTCAATAACCTGAAATTTTTATTGGACTTGAGAAATATCATGGAACCGAGTTTCCATTTGAAATGAAAAGGCTAAGATACTGTGGTTGTCTCATGGAGTGTGTGTGTTGTGTGACAGAGAGAGAGGAGGGGGGATTTTGATACACAGGGGGAGAGCCAAACTACTCCGTCCTTTCAATTCATCAGTTCCATTCTCAGAGAAGTGGAAAGTTAAGTTTCTCAAGTGGAGAGTAATGAAGTTAATATAGGAATGATAATTAAGATTAATAAGGAACTACAGGGCCCATTTAAAAAGATGGGGAATAATAAAGCGGTTGGTCCTCAATACTCTCAAGTGTAGCTTCTGATGCAACCCCAAGAGGTTTACAGCTCTCTCCAACTTTGGAGTTTTTTGAGCTCTCCGTAGCTCTGCATATTTTATGGCTGGATCAACACTGCTCCTCACAGTCACCTTCTTTTGTTCTTTATCTGTATGTATATGAGATACCCAAAACGTTTCAAATATGAACTTCAAATAGCCAAGAGAATCTTACCAATCAAAATATATTTGTCAAAAAATTATATGAGATATAAATTTAAGAAATGTATATAAAAACAAACGATGAAGCCTCATTATATAAAGGAAGGTCTTTGAATCTTCAAAACCTCTTGTCCAGTGATTCTAGATTTAAGAAATCTTGTGGTAGCATGTTATTGTATATTTAAATGTGTGTGTATATAAACTACCTTTTCAGCCAACTAAAAGTATATAAGACCCGAGGGTCCCAGTCAAGATGCCAGCAACAATCAAATACCTAAGAACATGACTGCCTAAACATATTAGAAGATAGAAGACACACCATGCTGAAGAAATGATCTGCCACATTAACCTATATATCCATAAGATCTATTGTTGTATCTGCAAATTCTGCAGGATTACACCCTATTTAAGTTGGGGTCATAAAATTACATTATTGATTGTATTGGAGTATCTTACTATAATTGAGGCCATTTATATTTCAGCCACCAGACTTATCACCAAGATCAATAATATTGGCCAAATCGGATCTAATAAACTAATAAATACATGTGTCTGTAATTTGTTCTGAAAATTGTTATATTGCCCCCTTCTGCTTGTCTGATACATTTTATCAGCTCCTTCATTTAATATATATATGTATATATATATTTCAATTTTATCCTTTGTCCAAACTCCAAAATAGTGTATGATATCATCTTATTTTGCATTACTTGTTATTTTTTTCCCTTCATGCCTGTATTAGGTACCATGAGATTGCTATCATTGTTACATGTATGACTAAGTTCAAATTCTTACATTCCAGCATATATTATATACTCAATCATGACTCAACACACATATATATACATTCATACACATACATATTGAATTGTAGTTACTTGGGTTACCTGATATGAGTATTAGGGGAATCACTCTCAACTTTCTTCATCAATCTTCATGCATGGGATGTCGGCAATCATTGGCCAGTAATCTCCTCTGTCCTTCATACACCTTTCTTTTAGATTTGGACATTCCTTTATATACAAAGATTGAAGCATGGAAGGCAGCCCCTCCTTAGGCAAGGACCGAAGCATAGGGCAGTAGTAGAAATGTAGATGTTGAAGAGAGGTGAGGTTCCGGAGCCGCTTGAATGATATGGATTCAAGATTCCGGAGATCGCCGATCTCTAAGAGGGTTACACTTGCAGGAAACACACAAAACCCTTCTTCTACTTCTTCATCATTAGGAAAGCAAACCATCTCTGAAAATCCACCAATGATGCGGAAATTTTCAAGAGAGGTGAGTCTGTGCAGGCCCCACTCTGACGGGCATCCTGTAATCAGCATCAATTGAAATTGAAACAAGTTTTGGGGACAAATTCCCATTGCGAAACAACTCAACATTTGGACAACCAATTAAATGAAGGAATCTGAGGCTTTGAATCTGATCGAATGGTGGCAGCGACCTCAGATTCACGCAATTCCTGATAAAAAAGACTTCTCAGGTTGGGAATGGATAAACCTCTTTCTGGGAAGTACTCCAAACTATCGCAGTTCCATATCCATAGTCTAAGAAGATTTGCAAAATGGTTCAGGTACCCAACCAACCCTCCCACATTTGGCAAATTATCTACGTATATTTCTTCAAGTGAAGACATACTACTACTACTACTGTTCTCATGTACCATCGCCTCTGAAACCCACTCCAATTGCATACAATCAGCAATTCTTATTCACCTGAGTGTGGTGGGAAACTTGTCTGTTGGCCACGACCTCAGAGATGAACAATTTTCGACCCTTAAATCTTCAAGATGAGAGATGACGGTCCAGGAGGGACTTCAAGCCCTCGCACTCTGTCAGCCAAAGCCTTTTAAGCATGGGTGGGACACCTTTTTCTGAAAAGAGCACAAGTTTTGGACACCCACTCACATCCAACCACTTAAGAGACGGTAGATTGTTCAACCCATTCGGTAACTTCTCTAGATTGGCACTCACTTATTTTCCAACTTTCAAGTTTATAAAAAGGTACCGGCAATGTATCTTCTTCACCCAATGTAAAACCATTCTCCCACAAAGTAACCGCTTGCTCACATTTTCTAAATTCTAGTTCTTTAAGTACAACCAAAAACTGCATGAGTTCCTTCGGGAGTCTAGATAGTCCTGTAACACTCTTGACTTTCAGGATGGTTAGTGAGATCATATCAGTCAAACTGTTTAGCACCATCTCATCACATTCTTGCAAGTGCAGTTCGCAAAGTGAAGGATGCCTTAAAAGTGAAACCCTGATCAACCTAGGACATTTACGTATGGTAAGCACTTGAAGGCGAGGGAATTGTCATGTAGCTTCTTCAACGCTATTATTTAAGAAACACCATTCCTCCCATTCCGGCATCTCTACAAAAGTTAGTCTCTCCAGTGATCGAAAAACTGGAAATTCTAATCCACAATCGTATTTGCAGAACTCGGCCCCAACACTTCTGACACTTTGCATGCCTCCAATGAATAGGTCTTTGAGAAAGGGTAGTTGTCCGAGTGGTCGTAAATATTGGCATTTTGTACAACCACTTAGACTTAGATTCACCATTCTAGAGAGTGACGGATCTCCTATCCAACTTGGAAAACTCGTGCCCCTGGAGAACTTAACTTGGAGCACTTTTAGGTTTCTGTGTGGTTTTAGCATGTTGAATACATCCATTTCAATATTTTCATTTCTAGGGTCGTCAAAGTCTTCACTCCATACCAACTATAATTCATCAAGATTCTGCATACCTATTAAATTGGCCTCCATTGCTTCTCGAACATCCATTACATTTTCTAACTTCACAATAGAAAGCGCCCCGTGAAGATGCATCAGGTGTTTCAACTCCATTAGTCTTGACCTATTGCCTTTTCCCACAATAATCTTTGACAATGTCTGCAAATTTATCAATCTACCAATTCCCATAGTCATCTCTTGTAATCGATCAGTGTTGGCATTGTCAAGATGACGCAGGTTAACTAAATTTACAATACTCAAGGGCAACATACAAAGAGATTTGCAGTTACGCAATGACAATGTTTGCAAATTGTACAAAGTACCCAATGATTCAGGTAACCGTTGGATTAAAGTATAAGAGAAATTGAGGTATTTTAAATGCTTGAAGTTGCAAATCGAATTTGGTAGCTCGCTTATTCCATAACCAGACAAAGACAATACCCTTAAGCCATGTAGTTTAGGCAATAAATCGAACAAGACCCTGTTGCTCAAGTAGTGATATGTTGGCCAGCTAGACACTTTGTGAATGGGTAATGATAAGAAAGTACGCAAACTTTGAACTTCATAGAGACTCTCAAACTTTTGGAAGACTTCGTATTGTTGACGAGTGTAAGACAAGTATCGAGTCCGTTTAGAAACCCTAAATTGCTCATTACCATCAAAATTATCCACTAACCTGAAACATATTTCCCCAGCAATGAATTGAGCCAGATCATTCACAAGGTCATGCATCACAAATCTCGTCTTATTACCTCTTGATTGCTGGAAAAATGACCTTGATAGTAGATCATCAAAACATTAGTTGCCAAAATCTTTATCCACGTCTTACCTTTTTTTAGCTGCAAAAGACCTTCTGCCATCCGCAACAAAATCAGCTCGTCTTTGTCAAATTCGTAGTCTTTTGGAAATATTGAGCAATAAGCAAAGCATTGCTTTAAGTGGGAAGGGAGATGATGGTAGCTCAATCTAAGAGCCGGAAGAATATTACTTCTTTCAGGTGGTAGCTCCCATATCTTGCTATTCAATATATCTTCCCACTTCTTCCGGTCCAATTTAGTGCGTAAGAGGCCTCCAAGCGTCTTTGCAGCCAAAAGCAAGCCCTTACATTTCTTTACTATTTCCTCACCAATTTCTTTTAAATCCGGATGTGCTTCAAAATCCCTTCTTCCAAGTGCTTATTGAGCAAACAAAGATAGACAGTGATCATCTGTTAACTCCTTTAGATGGTAAGTACAAACAGTACTCATGATCGATGCGACACTGTCATTGCGAGTTGTAAATACAATTTTGCTTCCGTGAGCCCCAGCTAGAAAAGGAACGCGTAGGAGATCCCACTCGTTAGGGTTCTCATTCCAAATATCATGCAAAACAACAAGAAATTTCTTCCCCCTGGGGGTTTCCTTGAGTTTGACTTGAAGCATATTTAGATCCTTAAAGTCGTAGATTTGGGAAGTAACGGACTCGAGAATTGTCCTGGTCACCCCAATTACATCGAAATAGTCAGAAACACAAGCCCATGCCTTCAGATCAAATTGACCGTTCAGAGCATCATTGTCGTATACCAGTTGAGCCAAAGTGGTTTTACCCACCCCTCCCATACCCACAATCGGAATGACTGAGATTTCACCATCACTAGTTTCTCCCGTCAATAACAAGTCAAGTATGGCCTGTTTATCATTTTCTCTGCCATAAACACGAGATTTGTCTACCAGAGATGTGGTGGGCAACTCTTCTTTTTACTCCGTCGGACCTGATCCCTCCAACATTGTCTTTCAAACTCAGTTCTTCTTTTTGTCTTACAATATCTTGTAATCTGTCATTGATCTCCTTTATCTTGGACCTCATGTCGTAATCAAACATAACAGCACTATGAGTGAATCTAGTACAACAAGTAGGGATGAGTTTCTGTACCTTGCTGGTGCTAGCTTGATCGGTAGGTTCCTGATCCATCAATTTTCGTCGCATGGCGAAATCGTCCAGCTCATCATCCAGATCGTAAGTGAGGTCCTTGAGATCCTCCAGCCACTGCTTCACAGCTCTGTTTGTTGTTTCCTTCTCCTCAGCATCGTCGAGCACGGCATAGATATTCAGCAGTGTCTTCCTCAGCTTGGCCAACTTGGTGTGAATTCCCTCTCGACGTGCAAAGTTTGAGCTAGTCTGGAGAGGCCAACTTCTGAAACAGCACCTGAATGAACGCCAAGAGAAGTATTTCTCCAATAACCATCTTCAGACCTTGGGACAAAGGAATCAATCAGCAATTCTGTGAAGAGAGAAAACAATAGCGAGCAAAGCAGGAGAGAGAGGTTTGTTGTGTAGAAGCTTGATGATGAGTAATGACTGACCGGGTCTAAGTCAAGGACGCGTAAAAAATGGGTTGGTGGATATCTCTGTCTGACACACACACATATATATATACATATATATATGTATATATATGAAAAATAAGAATGTATCTGACTGACTACATTTAAGTCTAGGATGAATGATATTGATAATGTATCCCACTATGAAGATTTTTATCCAGACAAGATATGTGGGAATTAATGATTGAGAATCCCTTTTTGACATCATCTTCCTAACAGATCCCTCGCCATTTTACAGCCATATGATATTTTAGAGTATAGAGCTATGTGTTTTGTGAATTGCGAACATTATCTTGTGCAAACTAATGTGTGATATAATATAATATTTCAAGTGATTTTGAATGCCGATATTTTAACAGAGAAAAAAATGGTTATGTTGCTAATGATAGTTTTATGTGACTGACAAGTTATCTGACGCAACCTTCTTCAGGACCGATTATGTGAGAGAAAAAATTGGATGGCATCATGTGAATCCCTCCTATAATGAAATCCACGGAAGGTCCCTCTCAACCGGTGGATTGGTTGGACCGTCAATTTCATGCATGCATTACTTGCCATTTTTACTAGATTTGTACCATCAAGGTTTTAAATTGAATTGAGAAATCACTCTATGAAGTTAAGCAAAAGTTGGGCAGAAATGTATTTTTATCACTACTTAATTTTTTATTTTTTTCTTTTCTTTTTTTCTTTCTAAATGGAGGAAATTTTTGTAAATGAGAAATAATATAGTACAAAAGAGAACTGAGGTTATACCCTTACATAAAACACGTATCTTTTAAACGACAAGAATCGAGGGACATGTCCCAGCTAACCCCTAAAATGTCCATAACCTCCCAAAGAATACCTTTCGCCAATTCCAAGGGATCCTTGGACTTCTTGAGCTCACAGTAACAAAAAATGTGAATCGCATCTTCTACATTTTTGTAGCACAAACTACATCTTGAGACCATAGATACCCCTCTTTGTCGAAGGTAAAGGTTGGTAATAGTAGCTTTCTTTAGCACCAAAACCGCATGGGTTGACCATCTAGGTTGTCCACCATTCCAACAAAAACCATGCCTGTAAACCTTCTGAGTTTTGACCGTGCAGACTTCCCAAACAGATTTAAAAGTGAATTGGTTGGCGTACCATTGAATCTTTGTCATTGCTCCCATATACATTTGTGGTGGTGTTAAACTTAAACTCATCCCACTCAGGGGCGGAGCCAGTGCCCAGAGGGGGCACATGTCCCTTCTGACCTAATCTCGCTCACTATAAAATATAAAAAAAAATTTATTTTAATTTATACATTTATAAGAAAATTTCTAGATAATGCCCCCCTAAAATTTTAAATTTCTAAAATTATTTTCTAAATTTTTCTTTTGCTCTTAATATTTCTTTAATTTCTTTATAAAAAAAGTTAAATTTTCTTTCTTTACTTAAACTTTAATTTTTTTTCCTTTCAAATTTCTCATTTTTCTTCCTTTTTTTTTTTTTTTTTTTTTTTTTTTTTTTTTTTTTTTACACTGCGCTCCTCTAAATTAAAATCCTACTTCCGCCCCTAATCCCACTGACCTGTAGCAGTAAACTCTTTCAGCCGAATCTGTTTATCTTTGGTAATATGGTTACGTGATCGAACTTCTCTGCCATGAATTTCCCTTCACACCAAGGATCAAGTATCATCAAGATGTCCTTTCCATTACCAATTCTGTATTTACAGTTGGTTTTGATAATATCTCTAATTGCTCACTACTTAATTGGCAGTCTTGATTATTATCACTAATTAATTTCTATCTTCTTTTTCTTCTTCTTTTTTCTTCTTTTTTTTTTTTTTTGTCGCAATAAATTTTATATCCTCGGTTTTAAATTTTCCTTATATCTATCCAACGAGTCCCTGTAATCATATCTTATCAATTGTTTCTGATAATATTATTTAAACTTCAATTCTATCAATTCACTAATCTATTCGTTGTCTTCATGGAAAACTATTGATATATATATTTTTTAGATTAGTTTTTGTTCTTTATTATTATTCTTTATTTGTAACGGAATAAAATATGCATTCATTCATTTAGTCAAACTTCTCGTAAATGGTTTTGGAGACTAAATCAATTCGTTTCGGATAAATTTACTAACTTGAATAAAAAATAATTTGAAATTTCATTCAAATTTAATAATCTTTTAGTAATTATCTTTATATATACAAAAATGGTAGATCAACTTCTATAACAAAAATGGTATTTTTCAAGTGTAGATCAACTTGAATTTACGAAATGGTTTTTCTAAAGGGATGATCAATTTGTATTTATAAAATGGTCTTTTTCAGACTTGGATACTGAAAAAGACCCATTATGACCTTCAATGTAGCATTTTGATTTCCTTACAGAATGATCTTTTTCATGTTGCCAGTACATAATTTCTTGAGGAGGTGTGCAGAAAAAAATAAAAATAAATAACAAAATAACCACCACCCCTTACATGACAAATCTAATTATTTAATTTCCAAATTTTGAGCCATTGTTGTTATATTTTCATTTTATAGTTTCGGTAAACTAAATTTATAGTTTGAAATTATTCTTGTGGTAGGCGAGAGCTTGGCCCATCCATGTACATGGTGCCCTCAAGAAACGTCATGGAGTTATCATCTCTAATGGAGACGGCCGAAAGGGGATAGCAGACTCAGGATTGAGATAGATGACATTGGGATCTCGAGGGAGTTCATCCGAACGGCACTCTCTGATCACTATTCCCTGACTCTCCCTTCGTCACCATTTAGATTAGAAATTCGTCACCATCTAGATTAGAAATTTTTTTTAAAAAAAAAATTAGTTAAAATTTTAAACTAAATTTATTTTAATTCTAAATTAAATGTACCTATTCTTTATCTTGCCGAATGCCTTCAATAATTTTTGCGATGAAATAATCAGTGGATAAAGAGGACCAAATATACCCAACGTTTTAAATTCAATTATCACATGACACAATTTACAAATAATCGCACAAATTCAAAATTTGCAAGTCATCCGAAAGTTGAAAGTGAATATCGGATTTGACATCATGACCCAAGTTGCCGAGTAAAGACTCGGCCGAGTCAGCCCAACCCAATTATCCAATGCACATTTTAGACTTCCACATTTGCAAACGGTGCCGTTTAGAAAATATCTCCAAGCCCACAATCTCCAAGCCATTTTGGACCATCCACCGCTTTGTAGTCTACCTCTTCCCAATAATACACCTCTCTCTCACTCTGTCTGCTAAACCCTCTCCTCCATCTCCTCCTCTATCTCTCTCTATATCTATCTACATATATATATATATATATATATATATATATATATAGAACGAACGATGTCTTGTGCAACAACACCTATATTCAAGCCTTCATCAATGGTCAACAGTTGCCTAATTTCACCACCAACAATCTTCACTAAGAAAACAACATACCCATTTCTCTCAATCCCATCCAGACCCATTAGACTCCGCGTCGCTTGCTCTCACTCCTCTTCACTACCTTCCTCTTTCTCTCTCATAAACAAGACCCGTTTCCCAAACTTGGTCACAAAGGTAAATGTTCTATGCCCATTTTGATTCTGAAATTTTTATCCCCAAATTTTTCTTTTTTCTTTTTTTTTTTTTTTTTAAATATATTTGGGTGTGTGTTGTTTTTGTTTTCATTTTTGTAGGCGGGCTTTGGATCCAAGGAGGCAAAACCAGGAAAGAAAGAACAAAAATGGACTCACGAAGGTCTAATTACTGAATCGCTTCCCAACGGTATGTTCCGAGTTCGTTTGGATAACGAGGATGTGATTCTAGGTTACATTTCCGGCAAGATCAGAAAAAGTTTTATCCGGATACTACCCGGAGATAGAGTCAAAGTTGAAGTAAGTCGTTATGATTCAACCAAGGGACGTATAATTTATCGCAACAAGAATCCCAAGGATTAGGGTTTTTTTTTTTTTTTTTTTTTCAACTTTTAACATTTCCTTATGTGGGAATACAATTATGTGATTTTAAAATTGTAAGAAACTTGTCATATTGTTCAAGAAAATTATGGGATTATGGGCTGATTTGTAGCTGATTATGATGGCATTTGAATACTCCTTCAAAAAAGCAATGTTTTTACATTATTTGTTTTTCAATTAAGACAAGTCCATTGCTAGTTATTTCAATTGGAAAATGATAGGAGTCTCTGAATAGTTACTGTTATGATGTGTCAGTTGATTTGGTGAGAAAATTTTTACTGAATCTGTTTTGATTTGAACACTTTGAAAGAAGAGAATCGAACTTCAAGTATAAAGTACTCATTTTAATTGAAGCCCTTATTTCGAAGGCCAATTTGAACCTTAAGAGAGTTCTCATTTCCTCTCCTCTACAGTTGCCTGACCTTTTACATTAAAAGGACAACCGTTTGACCTATGTCTCTTTGAGCTCCAATCTTGGCACGACCATGATCAGCTGTGTATTGGTTATTGTCGAACATATTTTTGGCGCGCTGTGGAACCCGTTGTGAAAAGATTGCAATGCCGAGGGCAAAGCATTCCGTCCGCTAGAGACGTTGACGTTGACGAGTTGGAAGAAGAACATAAGCCAAGGCATGTTGGCAGTTCTTATTCCGACCGCAATGGCTTCATAGTTGTTGTACCAGCATTTTGTGTAGCCATTTGCAATCCAATCACTCGTGGTTCAACCACCACTGACTGTACAACAATCCAACCATGAAAAACATACATATTTTTTCCCCATTTAAAAAAAAAAAAAAAAATTTCAAAAGCGCAATTTATGTATGAAGGAAATGGAGATCAGACACTTAGAATGAAACCCTGAAAATGCTTGACATCATCCACCCCAACCTGCGAAAGCCACATTAGAAATAAAGGACACTCCCCTAAATAAGGGAAAGGCAACATGAAACTATTAGATGGTGGTTCTATATAACGAATGGAAATTTTAAATTTGTCCAGAGTCGACAATTGATCGTGAGTTGTGGGCTATTGTGATGGGACTTACACCCATGTTTCGGTTGTGGAGACTATTAAAACTTAGTACATGAAATTGTACGTTTTAGAATGAGTTGATGGCTTATTACACGGAATCCTATTTTCTTAGATCTGAGTTGAATGAATGGACATCATTGACGGCATAAAGTTCATAAATTAGGTTTTATAAATACCAATATCATCTAATAATTTCTTTAATCGAATAGGATTACCATAATGATTTCTCAAAATAAGACCTCAACCATAGAGTTTGGAAACCTCTTTAAATGAAGCATCCACATCAATTAAACGCCTCTGTTGGGCCGAGTTACCCAGTAAAGTCCTGGGCCGACTGGGCCCATTTATCCAATCCACATTTTAGACTATACATTTGCTAAATGGACCCATTCAGTAGTTATCTAAAAAGCCCATAATCGCCAGGCCATTTTCAACCATCCGCCGCTTTGTAGCTCACTCTTCCCAACATTATACCTCTCTCTCTCTCTCTCTCTCTCTCTCTCTCTCTCTCTCTCCCCTTATCCTCGCCTCTGCTGAACCCGCAACCACCTCCTCCTCTCTCTCCTCTTCCCTCTTTCTCTCTCTGCTATACACACATATATACATATATATATAACGATGTCTTGTGCAACAAATTCTATATTCAAGCCTTTAGGAATGGCCAACAGTTGCCTAATTTCACTCCCAACAATCTTCGGTACGAAAGCTTCATACCCATTTCTCTCAATCCCATCCAAGCCCATCAAACTCCACCTCGCTTCCGCTCACTCCCCTTCACTACCTTCATCTTTCTCTCTCGTTCAGAAGACCCGGTTCCCGAACGTGGTCGCCTTCGTCGCCGAAACCTCCGGCTGGGCTCAGGAAGACAAAACTGCCGTTATTGAAGAAGAAGAAGAGGTCAGCTGGGAAAACAGTGATGTGGGTGAGAGTGGCGATTGGGAAGGCGGAAGCGAAGATGAAGCAGGGGCGGTGGTGGAGGCGGTTGGGGATGCCACAGAGAGTGGCGGAGAAGAAGAGTTTGTGGAGCCACCTGAAGAGGCAAAGGTCTTCGTTGGGAACTTGCCATATGATGTTGATAGTGAGAAATTGGCTGAGATTTTCAATCAGGCGGGTGTTGTTGAGATTGCAGAGGTAATGTTCTTTGCATTTTATTGTGAAAATTTGTCCTTTTTGGGTTTTAAAGTGATTTTTTATATTTGGGATTTTTTTTTTTTTGGTTTGGTTTTGATGATTTTGGGGCTTGAAGGAATTTTTGATATTTGGGTATGTGTTGTTTGGGTTTTACTTTTTTTTTTTTGTAGGTTATTTACAATAGGGAAACTGATCGGAGTCGTGGGTTTGCATTCGTGACTATGAATACTGTTGAAGAAGCTGAGAAAGCTGTGGATATGTTCCACCGTTTTGTAAGTTTTTTTTTCCCCACTTATCATTATATATGCATAGATATACATTTTATTGTGATAAGCTTAGTTGATTAATTTGCGGTTAGTTTTTGTATATTGGAAGGATATGTAAAAGAAAAACTGGAAAACAGTAGTTGAAGAGATGACAAACAAAAAAATTAAAGGAGCTAGCACACTATGAGGTGTTGATTTGCATATTTAATACTTTTTAACTTACATTCGTTGGGTGATTTCTTTATCTGATGGAAATAAGTAATAAGCCTTATCCCTGCACACATTGACTGGTGACATTCTCCAAAGAAATGATTCTCCAATCAGCAGACATATCTTTAGGGACATGCATTCCTTTTGTATGTTATACATGTCATATCTTAATGGAAATTAGAGTCTTCCACTGTCTGTGCATGTGGTGCCATCATCTTGGACTTAGACAATTAGGCACAATATCAAGGTTCTTCCGCCACCGTGCACTTCTCAGGTTGTGCGGTTGCCTCTCTTGTTCAGTATCCTTACTTTGGATGGTGCAATATCTTAATGAGTTTTGAGTGGGCACTCTTTGGTCTTACAATCAGTTCTTCCCAAATGAGTTTCACTTTTTACTGCCTCATCAACGAAGTCACTTCGGCTTGAATGAGAAGTATGTGGTTGGCCCTCTTGATTGGCATCCTTATGAGTTTCAAGTGGGCACTTTTTGGTCTTACAATCAGTCGATTCAGTCCATCCCAAGTGAGTTTCACCTTTTTCTGTCTCATCAACAAAGTCACTTCCGTGTGCACTGCACCTGGATGCATTTTATGCCTACCTAGGTCGGAAGCATGATGCAAGGAGCTCCTTCAGTTCAATGCTCCTTCATGAAGTGACATACTGGTTGAGTCATGCCAAACTTGTGGTCCTTTGGGTATTTAGCTCGATAATAAAAGTTTAGTGTTTGCCGAGTTGTCATCTTGTAGACTGTGCTGAAGTGTCACCTCATAGACTACATCTTGACGTATCTTTAAACAAGACAGACACCATGAAATGAAATGACTTATGGAGAGGTATGACTTTTTTTTTTTTATAATATTTTTGGCTATATTGGCCGGAATCATTATTTATCCACCACTATATCTTCCAACTCAGTGAACTCTAGGCTGTTACATAACAGCCATTATGTTAAGCAATGCCAAAATTTTATTCTAAGATTGATCCTCATTTATGATTGGTTTTTATTTATTATTATAAGTATTTTCAGTTGTGCTGAATATTTTTATAGGAGTCAACTTTTGTCAACATTCTTAGACCTGAGTTTCTTGTTATCAGTGGCCATTATTCTTGAAGTTTTTAGTCTAGAATGAATTCAAATGTATTGGATTATTAGCATGGTTTATGAACATGTGATATCCAATCAGATTACCAAAATTCATTATTTTTTTTTTCTTAATTTCTGTTAGTAAGATTTGAACCTCACAATTATCCTGTTGAGCAATTTCTTGTCACCATTTCCAAGACTTTTTGGGGATTTCTTGTCTCCGTGGCTTCTTGTTTGCAACTAAAAGCATGCCTTTTGGATTGGTGCCCAATATATCAATATGCTTTGCCTGTTGGATATTAGCATTGCTTGAGACTCAAAGTAATTCAATTATTTCTGTTTCATATTTGCAGCCTATGGTTGAAATGCCTCTTCACATTTACTTTGTATAAATAAAGGTTTAAAAACCATCCCTTAATTTCTAAAAAATAGCTATAACAACATAACCTAGAGCATTTGATTGAATCACCTTTTATCCTGCTTCATTTGTAAGGAGCTAGCCTTAATTCTGCTTACTGATTGTCATTCTAAATTGTTTTGCTTACTGATTTTCATTCTGACGTGTCTGTTATAACATTTATTAGCCATCTCTACTGCTTTAAGCATGTGGTTTGAGGGTAAAAAAAAAAAGCATGTGGTTTGATGGTTATCATCGCTGTTCCTAAACATATTTTCCTGGGTTTGAACCCCACACTCTCTACATCCAAAGAACGGGGCCTTTACTAACCTTCTGATGGATTAGTGGCAATATTTTTATTTTGGCTCCACGAAAGTGAAGGATAGTGTCCCTAACTGAATTTATTAGCTTGTGTGCTGTCACCTACCACTCCCAAAGGGAGGGGCTGGGTTACAGTTGAATCATGAATGTGCCGTGTAGTACTTATACCCGAAGATCCGCTCTCTACTTGTGCATTGCTTCCTCTTTTTAAAATAATAATTTAATAAAATTTATACCCAAGTCTTCCTAACGTGAGCTAATTATTACACGGTCATAAAAGACCCATATGAATTATCAACTCAAGGCTATTTACTTCAAACACTTTAGAGTTTGGGCCGTTTGGTAAGCAGTCAATCTCCGACTCTGAGTACTTGTTCCCTGGCGTGTTGGGTTTCTCTTTCATTAGATTACTTAGCAGCATTTTTTCCATGCTCCAAGAGGTGCTATTGTTGTTGTAATTAAATCTGTCAAATCTACGGAAGATGATGCGCTTGGATGTAAGGTTGTTATTAGCTATGTTACTAGACTCGGGTATGTGTGTTGGGTCACGTTATCTGTCCGAGCGTTATATGTATCAAATCCCCAAATAGGAGGACACAATGACATTGCTACATATTCACATTTTTTATTTTCTAGAGTAAATATAGTCTTCAAAATAAGCATTTAACTCGTTTTGGAGTCATAATCTAATACTACCTCCGTCCCTTATTAGTTGTCCATCTTTGGTTTTATAACTTTTTAAGGGGACATGCAATTTAAATTTAAATTTATATAGTTACAAAGTTTGAAATTTTTTAAAAAGATAAAGGACAATGATGGAAATATAAAGAAAAGATGCTTTGACTTTTCAAAGAGGACAACTAATTTGGGACATGTAGAAAGAAAAAAATGGACTACTAATAAGGGACGGAGGGAGTATAATTTATTAGGCCCCTGCACAAGGAGTAGATATTGGGTGAGTCGGGTATACCATGTTATTGGTATGCCCAACCAATCAACATCCACCATTTTAATTTGGTGAGAGCAGTTTCTTTATGTAAGCGGGACCACTTTATGTGAATGGAGCATGTTGATTGGGTAGGCATACCAATATCTTCTTCTGCACAAGGCTGAAATGTACAAATCGAGAAATTGTCCAAATTTTTAAGTTTACCTTTGTCCTAGTGGCTTTGGGTCTTAACTCCCAGGTCAAGGTATGTAGACTTGTAGGGAGAAGAAAGAAAAGGAAAAAAATCTATTTTAATTAATTTATTAAATATGTTTTTCTAAGTTCAAGTCCAACCAAATTTGTTGGACACATATCCCATGCTCTTGTCCTAGCTTCATGTGTCTGACATGGGTTCTGCTTGTACTTTCAAAGAGTACCACAGCTTATTGGACGAAATTTGAGTTGTTCTTGATGGTAGTTTTGCCAAATAGGCAAGGAGCAATGTAAAAGGGAGAGACTACATGCAGCTAGGATATGCCTATATTTGGATACTTTCTAAAGTAACTGTTGGGTTCAAAAATTATTACTTATTTATTTCTTATATTATTAGCTTCCAAGTAATCCCCCCTCCCCTCTCTCTCTTTTGGATAAGTAAGAGAGTGCAAGTATAAATGAGAAGTCCATGGTAAAATATGTACTAGGGCATACCCCAGGTATGTCAATGAACCCCCATGTCCACCACTCAATCAGAAATAGGGCATTCCTTTCAAAAATGCAAAACAAAAATATTACACAGCAGAAAAAGATCTCCAATTGATACCATGGATGAACTGAGAAGAGGAACCAAAATAAATTAAAAACCCCAACTGATCTCCAGTTTTGTTAATGAGGGATTTTAAAGTTCTCTAAGGAAGGATGAGAACCAAACAAAAGCTATAGAACGTCTTGACTACAGACTCAAGAAAAAACATAGGGCAGATGATTTTGGAGAGAAAAAACAGAGCTTCATCACTTCAGAAAGTAATATGGGAGTCTCCATTCCCTGATTAACCATTTATGGGGCTGTGAATCCTCAACATTTAAAATAGAGGAGCACCTTAATCTTTCAGCTTCGGTGATTCTGTTCTGGATGGTGATCAGATCCTTGGACACTTTACATAAGATTCTAGAAATTCTCAAAGATAGTGAATGACTGCAGCAAGAGCCAATCTGTTGACATACTTGATAAAACCTTTCCCAAAAATATTCTCGATTCCAGGTGTCCATTGAGTCCCATCTTGCTACTGACCATGCTATCCCTTGACTTGGTATTTGGGCTTATCTAGGGATATTAAACCATCCATGAGTGCACTAAGGAAAAAGGGATTAGATGCTCTCCAGAAAATAGACCACTTGCTTAAGACCAACTGGTATGTGGTACAGTTACTTGGTGCTCAACCATTGCACCTGAACATTATTTTGTGTTTGTTAAACAGTAAGGCTTTTTAATGCTTTTTTTTGTCTATGCCTGCCTGGATGGCGTCACGTGACAACTATCAGGATTCTTGGTAAAGTATATGATGGGGGGTTATTGACTAGATTTGTTTTAATTGAACCTAAAAAATATGTGGAAGATGGCACTTATGATGTATTTAGTGCTGGGCCTCAAGTCTTACTCTGTACTTTTCTCATTACATGTGAGAGGCCATTGCTTGCTGCAATGGTTACAACTCAGGCATTTAAATTCACACCTCCTGGCACCATTGAGTAGTGACTTTTTTTATATCTCACATCTATTTTATAAGCTTTAGAGCATTTTATTGATTTATTAAGTTTGAGAGTTCATTCTGTTACTGACAGGATTTAGATGGAAGGCTCTTGACTGTAAACAAGGCTGCTCCGAGAGGATCACGGCCCGAACGCCCTCCTCGTGTTTCTGAACCTTCTTACAGAATCTATGTTGGTAATCTGCCCTGGGATGTGGACAATGGACGCCTTGAGCAGGTTTTCAGTGAACACGGTAAGGTGGTGGATGCTCGGGTAGTTTATGACAGGGAGAGTGGTCGTTCACGAGGTTTTGGCTTTGTAACAATGTCGACTGAGGCTGAATTAAATGATGCCATCGCCAATCTTGATGGGCAGGTAATGCAAATGCCTTTTTTTCCAATAATAATGTAATTCTGCAACTTTCTTGTTTGTAATATGAGACTTGAATAAGCACATAGGATTGGATTAAAAAAAGTGATATTATATAGATCCAGCCAGTTCAGTTTATTCCCAGTGAGCATTTTATAATTATTAGGAAGACAGAAGAATATAGGTCACTGAACTTAAATTTATTGGACTTAAAATATATTTCTGTCATTCTTTGATGAAATGTTTAATTACTCTATGTTTATTTGACATATTGCAGAGTTTGAGTGGGAGGGCAATCAGAGTAAATGCTGCTGAAGAAAGACCAAGGCGTTCCTTTTGACTTGAAATGAGATGATGACCGAGTACACTGCTGGTAGTTTATTTCTTCTATAGTGAGTTTTGTAGTGGCAACATTTCTGTTGGCTATTGTTGCTCGAGTTGGTAAAAAGATAATGGATTATGATCATCTCTCCCCAGAAGTTACAAAGCCAACTATTTTTTTCAGGTTTTGATTTTTCTTTTTCTGCTGTGAATCTGAGATTGAAACTACACATTTGGTTGTAGAACTTACTGAAAGAATCTGTCAGAAATCAAGTTTGTGTGCCCTCCTTTTTTGTGCTTCTTTTGATCTAGTAATGATTTAGCTGCAGTGAAGACTTAAAAAACCAATCTAGGCAAATGAATTGAGGAAGAGTTGCTCAGATGCATTTGTGACAAAACAAAATCATAGAAGCAACTCACCATCTGGTTTACCCCATTCCTAAGCCATTTTTTCCCATCTGGTTTGTTGCTAGTCTAGTCTTGAAACCCCTGTAGGGCTTGTGACCTATGACTACCATCATTTTTTTTTTGGTAAGGTAACTTGGTTGAGTTGAGTAGGCAATTTGTGCTGGTGATGGATATGACTTCCATTTTTGCTATATATTTAGAGCAGTTAATATGGGACCAGGAAATATAATTTTGGTGTTTGATGAATTGGATCTGAGACACTTCTGTTATGCTCTGGTATAGGCATGCCAATATTCTATCAAAGCTTGTGATCTGCTCCAAGTATTTGCATTTTCTGTCTGCACAGTTTAAAGGTACAAAAAGATTGGCTTCTCCTGCCATTGGATGTCATTTCTCCAATGCTGCATTTGGCAGCATGAATTATATGCTTTGGAATTGAAATTGAAATTGAAAGAAAATTAATTTAAATTTTTAAAAAATGTGATCTTGAATTCAAATTCTGGGTCATGAATTTCAGGTGCAACATATCAATAGGTGCAAAGATGTGTTACTGCAGATTTTTGCTCCAAATTATGCCAATTTTTAGGCCTCCACCAGAAGGGAATTGTACCACTTAAGTCTGGATGGCTTAAGGATTTGAGAAAGAAGGAAACCACTAAACTAGTACCCAACTTAAAAGAGAGTAAATCAGAGCACACTTAGGCTTTTGGTTGCATAAAATTGGAGCTCCTGAATTGGAATTTGTGGAGTTGGAGAATAGCAACTAATAAAATTGAACCAAAATTTTTTCCACTTCCATGCCGTCGAACACAGTCTTAAAGTAACTAAACAATGAAACTACTAACTAAGCAATTAATAAACTAATGGAAGACAATAACTACCAAGGAAATGGATTAGATGTACGGATTTGGATCCTCTAAGCTAAAGATTTTCTAAGTTATCGTAAGTTAATTCTCTATAGAATGACACATCAACTAATTTAAAGAAACTTTGAAAACTACATCGTTTTGAAATAAGGAAAATTTACCAAAGTTTAAAAACAGAGACGCGAATTGTTTAAAAATCTAAAATTTGTTACTATTTAAAAGAGAAACAGAGACGCGAATTGTTTCAAATATGAATAAAGAGGAGAGAGATGAAGGATCTTTTTTAAAAAAAGATGAAGGAGAAATAACGATGTTAAACGTCGGTAGAGTAGTATGCTAACTTTTCCTTAATTCAAAACGGTACTGTTTTTAAACTTTGAAAAATTTTCCTTATTTCAAAACGGTGCATTTCTTAAAGTTTTTTTAAATTAGTTGACGTGGTTTAACATTAGCAGTAGATAGGTTTTTAATATTATGTGTCATTCTATTGGAAATTCAATTTACGATAATTTAGAGAATCTTTAACTTAGAGGATTCAAGTCCTAGATGCACACACTCTGCATATAGTTCAAATCCTGGGTATGGTCAATTATAGCTGAGCAACTAAGAGTTGAAATATAGTGGTATATCTTCTATCTTTCAAGGTAGAAGACCGAGATTCAAGTGTCCGTGAGGGCTTGATTGAATGGGTGGGTTACTTGCCAAGGTAAAAAAAAAAATCGTAATTGAGCACAGTTCAAGCTAACCCCTGGTCCCCCTCTTATCATGGGATTTTGGGGGAAAATGGAGTAACCTCCTAGATTTAACATTGCACATATGATGTTTGCTTTAGGTTTGAGTTAATTAACTTCTACTTGTGAATTTTTTTCATTCACAAGTGGCTGCAGGAAGTGATGCTTACATGCTTTTTATTCTTCATAAATAAAGAAACTTTAGTTATGGTAAGGCCTTGCATATTAGCAACTTCTTATATACTCACTACGAAGGAATAAAGGCAAGTGAATAATATTTGGTAGCTTGAGACTAGTTCTAAAATCCGTAGCATATAACCTTTTTGTAAAGAACTTGCTCCTCTTTGGACAAGACATCATCAAGTATATGGTCATGTTTTCAACCACATAGAAAGGCAATATATATATTTTCATACAATTATTGTAGCAAGAAAAATAATATTGAAATTAGATAATCCATTACGTTTTAAACTCTAGAGAGAGCCTCATGGTAAGCTCTCACCTCACTCAAGGAGATATTGAGTGTTTGAATCTCTTTGGAATCACTCTCAAGAGTTTCTTTTAATAATTACCTGGAGCACATAGGACGAGGGATTACATGTGTCCGGTGATAGATTATGGGATACTCTAAGAGACTCGACATCACCGTCATAAAAAAATAATAATAATAATAATTAAAAATTAAAAATTAATAAAAAACATTCCTTACCTCATGATGATAATGTAGTCCTTGTTGGTTATGATGACAAATGATAATTGGGGAAAAGATGCCAAAGAGGGAATTTGTTCCTTCCTTCAATATTTTAATAAAGCCTATGCCTTTACCTACAAGTAATTGGTCGATCTAGTACAAGATGGACTATAAATGACTGTTTGGGGCAACACCATTGTAAGTACAAGGTTTCTATATTTTTTATAGAACTTACAATTCTTGACAATGTTCCTCCTCTGCATTGTAAGTCCACATTTCTTTTGTTTTTTTTAGCTTGCATTGTTGAAATATAAAGACTGATATGTGAAGGCTTAGATTGTTATAAACCTTCTAGTTTCTTGTTTTCTAATTGAATTTTTATTCTGATATATGGTACCAGATTTATTGAATGTTGGTTTGAATTGTTAGTAGATTCATAATTAGTATGAGCAAAAACATTCTCTGTATGAATCATAGGAAGTTTTATATGTTACCCATGGAAAAAGGTGAGTATATGTGTTCCAATTCTTGACCTGTATACCCTACTCAATATGGATGATTTTTAGGCCATGACTTCATATATGTTGCGCGACACATTTTGGGGAAATTCGTCGCAGATCTTGCATGAGATGATCTGTTTCTGAGTTCAGGACAGATAATGATATGCTTGGATTTGAGATTGAGAAACATATCATATATATAGTATGATGCTTATATATAGTATGTTACATTAGTGCTGTACAAAAGTGAATGTTCCCTGAAGATGTTTGTAAAAAGACCTCAGTTAATAGCTTGGATGTCATTTTGTCTTTTGTCCTGCTAGATTTATTAGCATGTTATTAGTAGCCTTTGTTAAGTTCTATTTCCTGTTCATTTGAGCTCTTTATATATAATAGGACATGTTTTGATGAATTCAAGTTCTAGTCCAAGTGGCAGCTTTGGCAAAATACTCGAGTTTTTAAAAAGTTAGACGTTCTTCACCTTGTGGAGGTAGGCAATTTGCCGAACCAGGTAAATCTTGTTCTCTATTGTGTGTGTCGGAGATTGCTTAAGCAAACATGATATTCCTTACCCTGAACAAATCATTAGACTTCAAATTCTCATAAAATTAAGGAAAGCTGAAGAGGAAGGAAACTATCTATATTACATTCATAAAGCACACTTTTGGTAGTCTTACATAGAAGCTGCTAATGAGGGACCATATATAGAGTCCTACACATCTCATACAAACATATTTTAGCTATAGTAGCAATACTAGTGGTAATAAGACCACCTAGCATTACTTATTCTACTAGCTGAAGCAAACATGATACATTGCACTCTTACAATAATAAACAAACATAAAATATATAGGTCTTGGACGCATCTCTTAATCGGTGCAGCAGCGATACATGAGGTACTTCTCCATGGGACGGCCACACTCTGCGCAAATCACCCTCTCCTGGATGTCGCCATTGATCCCGGGAAGGATGAGGCGGTTGCAGTGCTGTGGGGTGTGTAGACGCTCGAGATGCTCAATAAGTGCAGGCACAAAACCCTTTTCCTTCGCATTCTCCTCCCAAACCCCGAATTCTGTTAGGCATGTCACGATAAGGTCGCCCTTGGCTTTGGCCATCTCTGCGGATCCTTTACTGAAAATAGCCCATCCTAGATCACTGCCGTCGAAACTAAGCACGGTCATCACCTCCTGCATTATCTGATCATTTTCAATGGACTTGCCGTGCTCCATCTTTGAGTAGAGCATGCTCTCCAATCGTGACCAGAAGAACCAAATGGATGTGAGGTCATGCCAAGAGTAACTAAGATGTTCCGAATCAATGATTTCAATGTTCTTTCGTACTCTTTCCTTGGTTTTGCTCTTCCCCACATAAACCATTTCAATGGTGATGCCTAAAGCCTTTGCAACAGCTTTTACTCTGCTTGTAAAGTCTCTGATCCACTTAATGTCCTCTCCTCCATACAAGCAAATGTAGATCCCTGGTTGAATCTGAAAAATGGGAATCAATTCCGCACTAATATTAGTAAGAGTTTAGTGGTAGTTTGTAATTATTATGGCAGTCGTGCGCGGCCTACACATCTAAGGAAATTAAGTTTCCATATATGGAGAACTGTGAGAAAATAGTTACCCAGTGAAGTGTCTGTTCATCAATTCCATCCACCAGTAGCTCGAGTTTCCAAGTCTCTTCCTTCCACAGTGCTTCCTCCTTCGCAGTGGTGAAAGGGTAAGCGAAATTTCCCCAAATCCACATCATGTGGTGGGCATTTGGGCACACAACCTTCCCTTGTGGATCCAATACCACTAGCATCATCTTCCTTTGGAAATGCCACACCTCCTTGATGTACCTGGTCACTGCTGGCTCGAGCAATGAGGGATGGTGCAGTGTGTGCCATGGCATCATAGACTGAAGCTGCTCAAATTTGCGCTGATAGCCTTCGTTCCAAGTAATTGACCTCTCCACAATCGGGAGCCATACCACGTCGTAGTGAATCTGATCTTTCCTTGCTGTTCGTGACTCATGGTAAATATCACCGAGAGTGAGAATCTCTTCGTTGGAGACATCAAGATCAGAAATGAGCAGTAACACTGTCTTTCTCTTAAGTATTTCAACACTAACCTGTTTGTGTCAACGAAAGTCAAATTAGAGTTAACTACTATTTCTCATTTGGTAAAAAGATGAGACTGCGAAAACATAGAGGTTAAGGTTTGTGAACAAACCCTCATCTTGGAGGAGACATCGTAAAGCGGCAGTATATCATCCTTGGAGTAAATCAATGCCTTGAGAATCTTCATGTTGTCCAAGTGGGGAATTTCAAAAAGATGCAAAAGCATTTGATAATATTCTGCGTGTTTCTTCTCATCTGCATCCCATAGTGATCATATATACTAAGTCCTTAAGAAAATTATAGGGCGTAATTTAAGTGTAAAACTTTGATGAGAAAGAAACTAAATCAAATTGCTTCTTGTTAGTTCATGAGAGATGCTATATATGGTTCGTCTCTTTCATTTAAAAGCAAAATTGACCATACTTGTCTTGTTAATTTCTCGAGTTTCATTTGCTACTCAAGTGCAACCATGTTGGTTTAAAAATTGCTCGAATACCCACCTACGTATTGATAGCAAATACCAATTTGTTCCGTGAGGTGGCCATGTATGTTGCTGACCTTATGAGCCAAGCTCGAAAGTTCCCACGCCTCTGTGGTAGATGTTATGTACCTGCATTTAGCGCGACAAGTCTGCTAATTAGTTGTGTCTAGCATATAATTGCAAAGGGGTTGAGCTCAAATAGGACACAGATGGCTTACTCATAGCTCATGCCTAGAAGGCTTGTTATCTGTGACGCGCAAGCCACCATACTCCGGATGGTCCAGTAGGCAGCAATGGGGATATGAGCCATGGCAAGCGACATTGGTGGCGTGTCAGGTGATATATATTGAGGTGGTAGCTCCTTGAACTCAACAATGCACTTGGTTACATCGATCATGGCCTTCAGAAGGTTAGTGATTGCATCAAATCGGGATTTCAGCGAGTGGGAATGCTCTATGATGTCTGGCAATTGCTTGAGGATAGCCACTGATTTGGCGAGTGGATTTGTGGCGCAAAGATGTGCAACGAGCCAGAACTCTCCATAGCAGACAGCAAAGGCTGCTAAGGATATCACCACTTTCGCGTCCCATGAGTAGTTCGAAAGAGAGTGGAAAATCGCCATTGTTGTTGCATGAGCATCTCCTCCTCCTGAACACTTGCATGATAACTGCAAATACATATATATATATATATACATAGTCCTGCTTAATATAACACTGGCTTTTGGGGGTTCAAATGAACTGCTTATCCTCTTTTGGAGTTCAAAATTCCAAAAGCACTTTTGAATTCTCTATGCTATTTTTCCAAAATTCAAAGTAGCAAAGAAGTGTGGTCTATACAATTAGATAATTAGTAGAACAACTTTTTTCTTAACGAGTATGAAGTACTTACATGTTATAGTAATTAAAAAAGACACTTGTTGTTTGATAAAATTAAAAATTAAGTAGAGAAGTTTCTTTTTATTTTTCATGTTTCATTGTTAGGAATAAAAAGCACTTTCTACTGGCAAGATATTGTGGCATGGCTGTGGATTATAACATAGGTGTAAACTAAGGGTTTGTTTGGTTCTTTTTTTATAATAAAAAACACTGTTCTCAAGGTGTAATATGAAAACATACATTTCTTAACTAGGTTTTCAATTCTCGAAAAACAGAAAACTAAACCAAATAGGCCCTAAGGCTTCATAATAACCTCGCAAGCAGTTCTATGTATGATATGAGCCAATCCTTCAAGGACTCCATCAAAAGCACTAAGAGCGATCTTGTCGTCCATTGTATCGATATGATCATGTGTGCCCTACATACAAAATTGAAAGGAGTAAAAGACTAGCATAAAAGTTGTAAAATAACATGTTCTAATTAGGCGAGAGGCTTCCTCGTTTTTTGAAAATAAAAAATCGAGAGTTCAAGATTCTGAGAGGATACATTTACCACCGCGGCAATGCTAGGCCTAGCACGATTGAGGATGTCCTCAATGACAGTGAGAATGGGTTTGACTTCAACCTCGCGGCCATCGGGTGAATGGGTTGCCTGAATTTGCTTCATCATGGCACTGTCATCGTTGGTCGAGAACATCCGGCGCTCACCCTTCAACTGTTGCTGCATCTTAGTGGGCTGCACAGGGGCTGGCGGTGGCTGCACCCTAGCGGGCTGCACATTGGATGCCAATGCCATTGCCATTTTTGGGGACTATTTCAAAAAGATTCAAAGAGAGGGAAAAATTGGCTTGTGTGGTTTTTCAATTACGCAATCAAGGCTCTATATAGTGATCAGAGGATGGAAAAAAGATCAATTGAATAAATACCTTGCTTGCAAGGAGGGTTAGATTTAGCTAAAGCAGTGTTTGTTTGGATAAGAATTTATCCATGGTGGGCCCAAAACTATTTCTTTACAGTGTAAAAGTACAAGTTCCCTGATTTTGATCAAAAGGAATGTTCCTCCTAATCGAATGATAGAATCCATATTGCCACATTTAACTTCCAAAAGGAACAAACATTTAAAATCCACTGTAAAAAGCTAGCATTAGACAATTGCTTTATTTTTATTTCGGATAATGATTTGGAATCTTAAAGTCCGATAATTTCGATTAATTAATGTGAGTAAAAATTATTGTTATTGTGATGTCATTAATATTTGTAACGTTTTCGTGACTGTACGTAATATTTTTTCGATTTTTGAATTCTCTATCATTATTCTTTTATATCACTTGTTTTGACTTATGAGGGGTTAATTGTTCAAAATCGTACAAATCAAGTTTAAAATTTGAAAACATTTACAAAATACCAAATCCGAGGTCAATCCCATATACTTTTTGCCCAACGTACTTGTGTAGATAACAACGATGAAAGAGTGAGCACGTTTTGTTATTAGTTTGGGTTTTGTGAAGGATAACAAAGATGAAAGAGTGAGCACGTTTTGTTATTAATTTGGGTGTGTTTTTTTGGGTGGATTTAAAGAAAATTAGATGTATGTAATCTTATTTTTACAGTATAAATATATATATATATATATATATTGTAATAGAATATCTATATTATATCATAAGGCATATATTCAAATTTTGAGAATGGTCTACACTGTTAATTTTTAAGGGTTGTGATAGATAAGTCGATGATTTGTCCCGATTAGTTTGGCAGTATATACGTGGCCGTCCCAGTAAGCAACTTTCTGTTTCTTCGATAAAGCTAGTAAGGCTGACACCCACCGGCGACCCAACAAAAGGAAAAGAAAAAGGATTCTGCTAGACTAAATTGTGGGCTTGATTTGCTTGAAGAGGTGCAGAGATTTTGCTGTGTTAAACTGCCATCAGATTTTTTTTCTTTTCCGATGGTGATATTTCATATTGCCGTGCGTCGGCGAGCTTGGGTTGCAATTCAAAAAAAATTGCAGAGATCGCGCTATCGCTGTTCGCCACTGACGGAGCCATCACTTGTTGTTGGTTGTCTTTTGTTTGGGGCTTCGCTGTTTAGTGGCCTCGGTTCTCCATTGTTCTCATCTTTGTTGTCATTCGGATCGCCTCAACAATCTCTCTCTCGGAACAGAGTTGTTTGCGCTGAGAGGAACAGAGTCGATTGCCAGTTTTTTTTTCACCGACGACCTTCAATTTCCGGTTGCCGAGAAGTCTACAGAGACTAATAGTGTTGTTTATCCCATCGACAACCACCGACGACCCCTCTGCTGCTTGTTAGAAATTTGTCTAAAATCATTTATGACATGGCAAAAATCTTTTGGCTACAAAAGTGTGATGGTGAAGCTTCCTTTGGAAGCTTTGAAATTCTTGGGTAACAAGAATAATTCTTCGGCAACAAGTGTCATTTGGCTTATAAAGGAACCTTTGAAATATATTTGGACACCAAGTATTTTTGGGCTATATGTAACCTTGCACAAATTTGATGAAAGGCATCCAAGAGTAAGATAATATTCGGATCAAGAGAGTATATTGGTTTTGTGTGTGTGAGAAAATCCTTTTATGTGTGCAATTTTTAAGTGACACTCGAAGCTTATCTTTGAGTGGGTTTTTCTCTTTGTTTAAACAATATACTATTTGGGGTATTTCTTGAGTGTTGAGTGAGTCCTCTTTGTTGGTGAGTGAGTGGTGTGAGAAGAGAGATTATTGTGAGGAAGAACCGAAACGTTCTTCAGTGATACGAATCATCATTCCCGTGGATGTAACCCTATTTATGAGGGTGAACCACGTATAATCCTTGTCCCTTTTGTATGTGCCTATTCATTTTTCTTGTCATTTATTTTTCTCTTGTTTTCGATAATATTCGGATCAAGAGAGATCAGGCCGGTGACCGTAATGAATGGCGAAAACTCAACCGGCAATGCTCAAACGACGTGGCTTCCGTCCTCTGCGTTGTGCGAGGCATATGGTCGAGCTCGGAACAACGGGTCTCTGGACCGTCTTCATTCGTCGCCGCAACGAATCTTCGTCTGCAATTTCCATGGTGAAGGTTGAGCTGCAGAATCCAACAAGCTCTTGCTGGATGGCGACACCCTTTCTGAGGTGAACTCTCCGACGGCGACACGCCCACACCCAATTTTCTCAGTTCCAAACCTATCCATCTTCATTCACGCGATCTCACACAACCCGTACTCATCTGTGCCGACGCACTAGTTTGATTATTCACCACTTCTGCAACTTCCGGCGAAAAGGACAAAGAACCGATGAAGCCTCACCTATGCAAACAAAGACCGCAAAATCAGAATCAGTTTCTTACGATGACGACACAACTTGCGACACCCACCGGCAACCCAACAAAGCACAACGATGACAATCTGACATTTCTGTCCTTGCTTCTCGCCGGCGTTGATCTCGCGTGCTTGCACCTACAGTACACTGGATGAAGCTGGAGAAAGAAAGAGAGGAGTGGGAGGGGGAAGAAGACTCAAAAGATGTTGACGGTGGTGGAACCGTGGAACTCTTGTCTGGCCTGAGAGAGGAGATAGACGGGAAGATGAATGGATTGTACGCGCATTCTATTTGCCGGTTAGATGCCACCTAAGATTCTGTGTAGGAAATCGGCCAAATTCATGGACATAAATATTATTTTTTAATTTTTAATAAAAAGTTTTTAAAGAAATAATTAAAACTATAAGTAGCTGCCAAATAAGAAGAAAATAGACATGTTTGGTTTTCCAAAAGTATATGATCGTTAATACAAATTGATTCCATAAATTAATTGATTCCTTGATTAATTTAATATGCGTGTCGGAGGATAAGTGCATTTGTTTCAAAGTCTTCTGTCGTCGTCTTCAAACATCATTAGATGCTTACATAAGCAATCTAACGTCGGCAGCTCATTTAGTCAGTATTTAATTAGGATAAGAGTGAGCGATTCAAGATTCTAGAGAGAGAAAAGGTGGGTTTTCTTTTGCTTTTTGTACCAAAGAAAAAGGCTACTCGATTTATTTAATCCAAAAAGAAGAGTTTCCAATGTTTTCAATTGAGTAACCTTCCAAATTCTCGAAATTACTATTAACATGTCTTTATTTAAAGTATTAATGGATAGAACACTAGTTTAGCTCACTTAAAAGTTTGTAGCAATTACTAATTTTATGGTTCACTTTTAATGTTTTTCGGTGTTATTAATTTATTAATTTTTTTTTTTTTTAGTGACTGAATTTTGAATTGTGACTAATTATTTGTTGTTGAATTAGTAATTTACATGTATTAGGTTATTAGCAATTCTAAATTTATTTACTTTAATTCCAAAAGTAATAGAGAAAAATGAATTAAAAGTTCTGAATATATGAATAGTTTTTAATGTGTTGCTAACTTGGTTTATTGTTGTGCATGTAGATTTTGAAATATGAATACTTCTGTAACAAAAAAAAAAAAAAAACTTGGAACCGAACCGAATTAACCAATCCGGTTTTTCACGATTTGGTTTGGTTCCTTTGGTTAAATGGTTCGGTTTGGTTCCAAATTTTATAAATCCGTTAGAATTAGTTTAGTTCCAAAAAACTCTTAAACCGGTCCAAACCGAATCGTGTACATCCCTAGTTCAACTCATATATATATATATATATATATATATATATATATACTAATAATTTTCTCTTTAATTAAAAATTTTGTACTTCTAAAATTTGTCGAACACTTAAATTTTTTTTTTTTTAAAAGAAAATATATATATATATATTTTTTTTTCTTTTAAAAAAAAAAATTTAAGTGTTCGACAAATTTTAGAAGTACAAAATTTTTAATTAAAGAGAAAATTATTAGCTAAAATTTTATTATGAAAATTATTACCCGAATGGCATAGCCTGACGCCTTTATAGTCTGGCGTTTGGCGTGGCACCAGATTAAGGACTAGTCTGACTATGATATCAATTGTAATGAATGGGTGCTTCACGATCTGATTCAAAATTTTAAGTTATTAGGTAGGGTTAACACACAATCCATTTATACCCACTTCACTTTTCATCCGGATCCAATGTGTGACAAATCTCCTTTGTAACACCAACCCCTTGATTCAAAACCATGAAATGAAATAGAAAAAGGCTAAACTTGGCAGTTCGTAATTAAAATCAGCCGATCCATTATTCAATGAAATAATAATTTCTTATAACGTTGTTGAGAAAATTTTACGCTAAAAAAAAAAAACTCCTGGAATTTGTAAAGTGTGCAAATAATATTTCTCGTGTGTTAAATCATACCCATGTAGTATAAAAAGTGAGAAAATAAAGACTTCTGACACCAAAAGATGGTACGAGTCAGTGACCAAAAAAATCTCTTTAGTACCAACACTACCATTTTGGACTTCCCAAACTACTCCTCACTCGTTTCTATATATAATACCCTTATTTCTATTATTTTTCTCCCTATAAATGCTCTAAATATTTAATTTATATTATCACCCTCACCGCTCTTTCTCTCTCTTTATATATACACGCACATATGTACTTCATTAATTTTCAATAAGTTATTTTACACGTCTCGTTCGATAGACCTCAACCTCGACCTAAATCTATGTCGAATGCCGAAGAAGTAAAAATAAAAAAATATATTTTACCTAAAAAAAAAATTCAGAAAAATATATATTTTTCTTAGCCTAAATATCGTCAATCCTTTCTGTTCTTCAAATTTTACTCAATCTTGGTCATAATATAATAATTTGCAAATTTATAGTATTAAGGTTTTCAATGTTTTGTTTTGTAAGGCCTAGCAACAGTGATACAATGGTGAGACGTGGCTTCTATTGGGAAAGAATTTTAAGGAAGCACAGGAGGGCTTGAAGT